CCTGTAGTCTGTCCACGATTCAGATCAGTTCACCTTCCGAGTTTATGCGATCCCTCAATGGACTCAGTTCGGTACATGCTTGCGTGTAACCTTTCTCGGCTGAAGAAAATTCATGCACGTACCGTGAGAATTTTGAACCATTTGGCTCACTCGTATGGATAATTGAACTTGGCAAATGGTTTTGCGAGTCCGATGGCAATGTGGCTAGTGATGCCACAATGCAATTAACATACACGTGTGGGGAGTTTTCAACTAAATGTGTGCGTATCTGCCTTTAGACTGCGCTCTGATAACGACCAGACCACAAGGGACTCTTAATATACCTCCTAGTAGACCGCAAACTGAACCTCTAAGGCATCCAATATAATCCGTTAAATAGGTCGCGAAAGCCTCGGAGGAGGATGACCGTCTTTGGGGTAAACTACTACAGGGTATGTGGCCGTCGGCACCAGCTTCAGGGTCGCGTGCGATTTTTTCCCACTATCTAGTGGTACAGGAGGAAGTCACAGCCTAACCGGACATACTCCCCGTCATTTCTTTACCTTAGTGGGACATGTGACAACAGTGTGTAGCTACTAACAAGTTCCTCCATTAACACTCACCTTTTTCCTCATCGTGAGGACGGATTTAACTCCAAATTTAATGGCCTAAGTCTATGCCATCACTTACTGTAGGAGTCTGCCAGCCTTGCAAATCATTCTTAACAACACGGTAGTTCTTTGGAGGCCTTTGGCTAAAGGGAATACTTTTTGACTAAACTGTACATGCAAATACCGTCTCTACCACCTCTTCCATTACAAGTTAACAGTTCAACTGGTAGCATATAATGAAAGAGCCCTTGGGCCTTAAATATACAATTTATTATAATTATATATTCTTAGTCTCCATTAGATTGTCGTCTTTTCTGGAGGTTATCATATCACCTGACTGAAAATACCCCTAATTCTCTGCTTTTATTAGGACACTAGCCCCGTTTCGCCTCCCCGCCCTCCCCAGAGGTTGAAACCGCTTGCATGTTATGGAGCACTTTGTGGCAAAGAGGTGGACTGCTATTAAGAACAAATAAGATATTTTAAAATGGGACTTTTCCCTTTTCGATCTTCATGTCTGACAAAAAATGAACACCATTACTGATTTGGTGGTCAGAAGAATAGCCGGCTAAAATATCTGCACGCAAACATACATGCAGCTATAATTATTACTTTTGCCAATTTAGCAATAAGCTTTTTTAATACTTTAGACGCTTCCTGCACAAGCCTCTGCGTACACGGAGTTTGCATCGAACGCAGCCAGTCGCCACTGGTTGGATTTCCGTCCTCCCTCATGTCGGTCGCCCCCGCCGTCTGCCTTTGCAATGACGGTTGGCGCGGCGTCTACTGTGATATCCCGACCTGCGGCTCGGCATGCCTTCAAAACGGCCAATGTGTGGACGATGTGTGCGTCTGTAATCGCGGCTGGAACGGTCTCAATTGTAATCTGTGTAAGTGTGCGATTAAACTACCCCGTTAACTAGAAATATGTTTGCCGTTTTGTTTAAGTGCTACTGTAGCGTGATTCCTACCTGCATTTTTTGTTGTTCCTACTTCAGTATTCCCTCTTAGAATGTTGTTACGAAGCGGTCCAAGGTGTCACGATATCTCCTGCAGCATTGTCTACTAGTAGAGAAGGAATCCTGCTGCCAATGCGATGGACCGGTAATGTTCACGTAAAAGAAGTGTTGACATATGAGTGGAATATGAGATTATCCGGTGCCACTAGAGCGTGACTCTTACCTTTATTTTTTTTTGAATTTCTACTTCAATAGACCCTTTAAAATGTACTTACGAGAGTTTGATACTAAATTGATGCGTAATGAAGGTGCGGCATCACGATATCTCATTCAACATGATCTGTCATTAGAGGAGGAACCTTACGGCAAGGGCGATGGTAGCTGATAATGTTCATGCACAAGCGGGTCTCTGGACTGAATGTGCCGGTATGGAGGTGTAGAAGAAAGTGTTTCCAGTATGTTCGATGAGTAAGAAAGGGGACGAAGTCTTCCATTTTTATGATTCGAACAGAAAAAATCCACTGTAATTTGAAGCTCTTTGAAATTTTAGACTTTATTTATTTCTGGAGCAACAGAATGCCACTGGAAGAAGTACCAGCGTTTACTGGTTGATCCCCAAATACTGTGGTTGACTGGTCCAAGTACTACCGGCAAGCTTTGCAGGGCAGCATAAGTGCGGCCTTGGACCGTCTTTTAGGTGGAAATACACCCGCCGAAGAAAACGATGGCAATCCAGCACAGAGTTATCGGAACCACGATGGTCCATGGATCATTGGATTGTGTTCAGGTGTCGGTGTTAGATATTTAAACGTAGAAGAAGGGAAGGCGTTCTCTCGGACCAGGAGTTTATTTGTCTGACGTTTCGACCCCTCCCGCGAGCTCATTGTCAAAGAATGAAAAATGTACAGCTCACAGTTTGTTTAACTCGGTTCTGCCGGGAGTGACCTCTGCCCTCGATCTGCTCGCGCAACGCGAGGTAGGCATCAGGAAGCTCGATATGCCTGTTAGTTGAGTCCGCACGTGAATGCCATGCTGCCTGCAGCAGGCGTGAAGTTCGGTCGTCTGACTGAACGGCAGAACCGAGTTAAATA